ATACGATGATAGGAAGATTCAGATAATGAGGAAGAATGAGGTAATAGTTTTAGAGAGATCGAACTGTGATCAGAAGCACCTAAGGGTGAATGTGGAGAAACTGAGCACTGACAAGGATCAAAAACAAGACATAAGTCGAGTAAAGAAAGTAAATGATTTAGGTTTTCTGGAAAGCGAGTTGGAAAGTTGACTATTTCAATTAGGAATTGAGAATGGCAAAAGTTGTGGGCTTTAACGCCTGCCAAGTCAATGACACTAAAGCCAAGTCATTCTGTGTAATGAGCATTAAAGTCACCAACAACAACGGCTGAAGATATATATATATATATATATATATATATATATATATATATATATATATATATATATATATATATATATATATATATATATATATATATATATATATATATATATATATATATATATATATATATATATATATATATATATATATTGAAGAGATAGATATATATATATCTTGAAGATATATATATATATCGCGAGGTTAGAATTATTTTGTTCTATCTCCACATTTTTTTGTTTCGAGATAAAACAATTTAAAAAATAAGAACTTTAGGAGACGGCATTTAAAAAGATTTTTATTACTTATGTTTTCTCCGAAACTTTTTTGATTTTAACTTAGGTTTTAATATAGTAGAAAAACATTATTTTGAGGTACATTACACAATTAATAACTCATTTTTTTCAAAAAGTGGAGATAGAACAAAATAATTCTAACCTCGCGATATATATATCTTGAAGATATATATATATATATATCTTGGAGATATATATATATATATATATATATCTTGAAGATATATATATATATATATATATATATATATATATATATATATGTATATATATATATATATATATATATATATATATCTTGAAGATATATATATATATATCTTGAAGATATATATATATATATATATCTTGAAGATATATATATAAATCTTGAAGATATATATATATATATCTTGAAGATATATATATATCTTAAAGATATATATATGTATATATATATATATATATATATATATATATATATATATATATATATATATATATATATATATATATATATATATATATATATATTATATGTCAAGGCATGTGACTGTTGGATAACAAATAAATGAATCAATGTGTTAGTTAATGTCTAGGCCAAGCATGTTACTGTTGGATACTAGATAAAGTGAGAGAGCTTGGTCAATTTGATTAGAAATAACATCAAAAAGAGTGCAGTCTTAAGATGAAGGAGAGCAATATTGAACAAAGAGAAAGGCGATAGAGTGAAGTGGTGCTAAATGAAAGCACATAAGAGAACAGTATATGGATTCAAAATTTCCTACAAATTAGTTTTCCTACAAAAAGGTGAATTCTTACGAATATAAATGCCTAGGCCAAGCATGTGACTATTGGAGTCTTTACGAATTAAAGGAAGATAACCATCAACAGTAAGATCACAAGATGAGACAGCTAAACTCAAATTAGTCTCACAAAAAGCAAATAGGTCTGGTGAACTTAGCAAGAGATAAGACTCAACAGAAGAAAAGTTATTTCGAAGACCACGAATATTAGTGAATGATAGGTTTAGCAAGCTTGGTGATGACAGTAGTTGTTTATGTTTTATAGTTTTTGTTACTTTATTCATTTTTCGAAATATCTTTGATTGAGTATTTTTACTCGAAACATCTTTGATTGTGTATTTTTAACTTCACATTCGAAAAGAGGGGCGGTAGTTGTTTTTAAAAAAGTTATGCATTACTTCATTTAAAATATCTCTTTAAGGAGCTAGAAAGTGCGAACAAGAGTCATTTTGAATAAAGATTAATAGTTTGTTTGTTGGCTTCTTGTTTATTGAACGTGGACTAACGTGAAACTTTTAATTGTCAAGCACTAGTGCTTCCAATACCGATACCATTTTTCAATACCAGTATATCGGTACTAAATAATTACAATACCGGTAATACCGGTATAATACCGGTATTAAACTTTATTTTTAAAATTATCATAATCTAAATAAAATCTCAAGTTAATAGTAAAAATTTTATTGATTCAATCAGCTTATTTATTTTATATCAAAACTACTGACTTTTTCATTTTTTGCTTTTTTCTGCTTTGTAAAATGAGCCCGTAAAAAACATAGGGCGTTCAGAACATCATCTTCAAAAGATCATATAATTTTGTTGGCTTCACAGTTTTCAAGTAATGGTAGGAATTTTGCAAATATATACAACGATTTCCTCCTTCTTCAAAAATTCCTATTTCAATACATATAATTTTTGATGAATTATTCGAAACATTCAATTTTCCCTTGTTGTTACATTTCTTATTTTTCAAAATTGCAAAGTCAAGCTTTTTTTCAATGACAAGTTTACAGCGTTGTCCACAGAATCACTATCAGAAAAAACGCTGGTGAAAGGGAGAGGACTATACCCTTTCTGATTGAGCCGATCTTTCAGTCGATTAATGGTATTTACAATGGCTAATTTGTTATGGTGCTCAAAAGATAGAGCTAGATCCAAATTCTTGTAACGTTGATGTCCCTTGTGCAAAAAATGTTGTATGCTTGAAAAAGAGTACGTTGCTCATTGAATTGTTGCACCAACATAACTTTACAGCTAAATCAATTTCTCAAAGGTTATCTATCATGAAAATGTTGTATCGGCACACAACAGAGTTGCATGATTTTGGCACAATGTTTCCACAGCCAGTTTTACTGGCGCAACACATAAGTTAACAGCTAATATTGCATCGGACTCATTATTAGTTACCTCAACTTTGGACTCAAGGGCAAAAAGTGACTCGTGAATGCATTTTTTTTATTATACAAAACGTTCGAGTACTGTGTGCAAGCTAATCCAGCTAGTTTTGGATCCAAGTATTAGTGGAATATCTTTATCAAATTTTTCTAACGTGCGTTTTTGATTTTTGATCATTTTTTGTCGGGGAACGGCGAAACAAAAATTTCACAACGGTGCGCACCTTTTTGATTAACGGCTGCAAATCATCAGTCAGTTCAATAGAGTCATTCTCTTCACTCATTACAACTTGAAACCCGCCGGAAAAGTCTTCATCATTATTGGTTATGTTTGTGTCATTAGTATTTCCTCGTCACTTTCTCTGTTATTGCATATTACTTTCAAGTTTTTTTTGCAGAAATTGACGATTTTTTTGTACAAAATATCTTGAATACCTAGTTGAATCCTATGTCTAATGCACAACTGTTGATCACAGTTACTTAAACGCCCCACTTTCTACCTTACCGAAACTTTTCATATTTACGTTAGTGCAAAATTCAAACATGCGTTCTACATTAAAGCGAGTGACGTAATGATAATATTTTAAATTGGTGCTTCATTATTTAATGAAAACACGAAAGTAAATGGAATACTTAAAAACTTCCAGTCACGATCAAACAACGCTTCCGGTAAGAAAAAGATAGCTAGATGACAAAAGACGTGTTTAAATCGTCTAAAACAAGTATTCTACGTATTTTATATGTCTTAAACGCTAGCTGTTCGCTGGCTAGTTGCTAGCTCATTTCCTACCAAACCTAGTGGGAAATGAGCTGGCAACTAGATATTAAGTATAAATTACGTAGAATACTTGTTTTAGACAATTTAAACACGTCTTTTCTCATCTAGCTATCTTTTTCCTACCGGAAGCGTTGTTGAAAGTTTTAAGTATTTCATTTACTTTAGTGTTTCACGTAAAGAGGGCGATTGCAGCTGCTATATCATAAGCCCTCTACATATATTTTTAATACCGGTATTGAGCCAAACCAATACCGGTATTTCGGTACTTAAAAATGTCCGGTAATACCGGTATTCCGGTACCGGTACTACCGGTATTGGAAGCACTATCAAGCACATATGTTCATAATTGTGGATATAAAGTTACATACTTTAATTGTGAATCATAAAAAAAAAATTGTTTTTAAAATAAAAAATAAAATAAAATAATTTTTATTTACTAAGGACAAAGTAGTTTAACATAATCATTATTAGAGATTTGAAAATTGATAACAAATATGATTAAATTAACGGTAAACATACCTTACATTTTTAAAGTTTCATATTTTAAATTTTTTCATTTTCACATATTTTATATTAAAATATATACTTTGATATTTGTTGAGGAGTTTTTCGTTTTTCTAACCAAAAATAAATATTGATTTCTAACCAAAAAGTATATATATATAATAGAGTCTCCTTAAAAGTATACAAAATGAAGAAATTAAGAAACTGTAATATTCAAACATTTTATGTTAAAAGTGAACTTGAAAAAAATCTAAAAGTTGGTTATTTACCTAAAAATGAAGATTTAAATTTGAAGGCAAGATTTATAGTTTTTAAGGTTTTAACACATGTATTACTAGTATAATTTAAATTATATTTCAAAATAAAATTTTTCATTTAAACAATAATATTTAAAAAAAAAAAACACCATGTGAAAAATTGTCTATTTTTACTTGATGTAAAAAAGCAAACATTACTTATATTAAAAATACCTTTTCAGTATTTTTTTTTTTAATAACAAAAAGTACTGGAAAAGTTTTTTAATATAAGTATGGCTTATAAAATTATGTGCAAAATTAGTTTTAATTTGTTGGTAAGAATAGCTGTAAAATAAAAGGTAAATTTTGTTATTTTTTTGTAATCGTTTATTGACGTCTGTAAAAAATTTAGAGCGTAGCTCGTATGCTAAAGTAAAACAAAGAATATTAAAACGTTGATTTAATGTATATTTAGTGCATTTGCTTCACTTAAAAAAGAATTTTGCATAAAGAAACGTTGACTAAAATTCGTCTAACGTGTTACGTACTATTGACGACAGTAACGAGAAATGCTAACAATAACGTTTTTTTGGTACAGAGTGATAAAGTTAATTCGAAACCAAATTATCTTTTTTGTGGGTACGAGCAAGTTTTAAGAATCGGAAAATCAGATTAGTAGAAAGAAAAATTTACCGGAAAAAAATTATTATTAATAAATTCTTATTACTCATAACAGCAATAACAAAAAGCTCATAACAACAATAACAAAAATATATTACGTAATCTTTTTTGAGGTTAACGCACCTAGCAATGTATCACGCCATACGCACAACCGATGACGGAATAAAATTTGTTAAATTTACCTAAATTTATTTGTTTTTATCACCAAACTATTTCCATAAAGTGTTTAAAACAAAATTCTTAACATAAAAACGCTTTCTCGATTTTTAAATTGTTATTATTCAATGAGTTTTTCTGCCTTTTTTACTTGTGTCGTAACATCAAAATACACAATTTTTTGATCAAGCTTCTTAGAAGCTACTTTTTTCGTGTAGCATCACAAGAATGGCATTTACATTCTGCCACTGTGTTTCTATAAGCAAACTTTGTTACTTTTTCTCCATTTGCTTCATTTGGTGGACAGTCTAATGATATTATTTTAACAGTTTCAGCAGTTGCTTTACAACACTGGCAAATTGATTTATAGTAAGGGTACTTGTGGTAATAGGTAGTTGCGGACGGACAGTTACCTCGGCAGTAATGCAGATCAACGGCTAAACAAACAGATTTTTAAAAAATATTTTTGCTTTAGATTACATATTAAACAATTTAATAAATACTTACGATTCATATTTTTACATCCATCCTCTTCCACAATGACACTTACTTTTTCCATATTACAATGTATATTCATTCCGTCCCACGGACTTTGACAAAACGAGTTACAGACCAGCACCAGACATAGCATAATATTGATGAAACCCATTCTATTACTTAATAAGTTTTAACATAAATTTAGTTAAAATTAAGTAATAATTATTGAAAAAATAATAATAATAATAATAACTATGGTATTATACACAGTGACAAATAAAACTTTTTCATGGTTATCGGGAATCAATTTATCAGTAATTATACCAATGTATTTATTTGGTCCTCAAAATCATACACAAAGCAATGAATAGTTTAATAAATTTAATAAAATTTATTTGGTCCTCAAAACCAAAATTTATTTGGTCTTCATAAATTTAGTAAAATTCACAACTTTGTACTTAACAGTTATGTGCAGAATGCCATCATAAAGTTGAAAAAAAAAAAAAAATACGTAGTCGATACTGATTTTGGTATTATTGCATCGTGTTTGTCAAGTCAATTTTATCAATAAGTGCATCAAAAACACAGCAAATTAACTTTTTAATTTACAAGATTACATTTACAAAACAAAGAATTGGGTTGCTTGATATATATATATATATATATATATATATATATATATATATATATATATATATATATATATATATATATATATATATATAAATTTATTCCAAATTTTTTTTTAAAGCTACTTTAATCTTTATATTTTCTGGTACAGCATTGTTTCACACACCCCAGAATACATCATAAAATACTAAAACACATTTTGCACATTTCCTACTTTTCCTTAAATTCCAAAGCACTTAAAAATTGTTTGTGAATAAAACGAATAATGCGTCATAAAATGCATAATTTTGAACTTATACACGTGAAAAATTTATTTTAAATAAAATGAAAACATTGCTAATAACAAACATCAACTATATTAAAACAATAGTTGCTAATGATAAACAATTACCAGTAAACTGCAGTGGTAACCAATTAACAACAAATAAAACATCAACAATAACAAATCGTAATACAAGGCAACAAGACAAAACTAAAATATATAACAAGTTTATTTTTATAATAGTTTCACAGTTGCTGAGACTTTGTTGGCATTAAACATGCTGTTACAATCAGTTTATGTACACAAGAATAGTTCGTTTGACAATTATAATTGAATCTTTAACTAAAATATAAACCGCAAAGCCAAAACAAAAGCAAAATGTTTATCAATAAAATTTTGAAAAACCTAATATAATAATAAAAACACTAATATTAACTTTAAAATATTTAAAATATATTTACTTTATAATATTTTTTTAAATGCAAACATTCCCGACACTCCCCAATTATAAGATTTAATTGCATATTGCATACTACAGTGTGTAAACAGTACATGGTGGTATTTTGTAAATACTGCTTGAAATATAAATACTGCTTGAAATATAAAAAACTTCTCAATACAAAACGAATGGCAGTCTATGCACCATTAACGGGTTGCATGTTAAGAAACTCTAAACAGGCACAAAACAGGCGCTGATACTTGCAATCTGATTCGTTGAATTTTTAAAAAACTTTGTTAAAAAAGATAACACAAATTTAAAACAAGAGTTTTCGGAATAAGTATAAAAGTAGGGTAATTTTAATACTATATTAAAATAATATTGATAAGCTTTTTTATTGATAATTTAAAGCAACAATTGATTCTAATACTCTGAGGTTCCTAAAGTTCTTGGCAGGTATCAAAATCTGTATTTTTGTGTACATATACATGATAAATTTATTGATTGTGTTAAAAAAAAGTATTTTTTTTTCATAAAAACTCTCTCTGACTAAATAATAAAATTTCAAAAAAATCCATCTTATTAATGGGATTATTTCTGTTGCTAAGTTAATAAAAAGGTATTGAACTTTAAGCAAAAGCAAAATGGTTTAAAAATTAGTTTCTCATAACAGGGCCGACGACACGGGTTTCAAAGTGGGGGGGAGGGAGCATAACTTTTAATTTTTAAAATAAGTCTTCTTTAAAAAAGTCTTCTCCCCCAGTGTCGTAGGCTCTGCATAAAATGTACTGCTGCAACGTCTATGAAACACAAATAATGCAAAGTTTATATATTTAAGTTTATAAACACATACATCAGTACAATACTGTACTTCACTTGTTTCTAATTTAAATTAAATTATTTTTCCTTATAATGCCAGTTCATATATTTACAATAAAGATACATTACATATATAAATAATAGCCGAAGCAAGAAGAAGACATTGACTGTTTTATCACTGAGCCTCGTTTACATATTATCCGTGTTTATAAACAAAAGATAAAATATACAAAACCTTAAAAATACATAACTTTTGTGAAATAAAAAAATTAAAAAAAGAAATAAAAAAAGTTTTGTATACTTATACAAATATATTTGATGCATGTTTAACAATACATATTTAGTGCTAATGAAAGCGTTTCTTAAAATTATCTTTTAAAAAAAATATTTACTCTTTTCTATTAAAATATAATTGAATTAAGATTTTAGAACCTGTTTTAAATTTTTCTTTTAGAACCTGTTTTAAATTTTTAAACTGAGTGTTGTTCTTTATTGTTCTTATTTGTCCATAAAAAAGGTCCTCGATATTGAATTCGATAAAAAACTCATTTTTAAATTAATTCGGAAAAATAAAGTTATTCTCTGAAAACTTTATGAGATATTTCACTAAAATAAGATTGAAATAGAAGTGGAGATATATTCCATGTATCATTTTAAATATGAAAAGTAATATTTGGTAAATGTTTAGTTTATAAATACTTAAGGCCTTGAGATGATTTAATAGTGGTTCGCAATACACAGTTCTGTTTGCCCCAAATACAATCCTACAAGCATGCTTTTGTTTTTTATAAAGTTTTATGAGTTTTCCGTAATTCGTACTTTCCCATGCCATGTTGCAGTAAGAAAGATAGCTGTGAATAAATAAAAAATAATTTTTCATTAGAGCTCTAGTATTCAAAAATGGTTTTGTTTTATAAAGTACGGAAATATTTACGTAATAAATATTTCCGTAAATAAAAACTTAAGCAATTTTGCTCAAGTTTTTATTCACGTAAAGCTGAACAATTACCGAGTAAATTGCTTAACTTTACGTGAATAAAAATTAGAGCGAAACTTCTAACTTTTTTACTTAAGTAAAGCTGACTAATTACTGAGTAAAAGCAATTACTCATTTTTATTCACTCGGCCTATTATAATCATAAAACATTTCATTTTTTAAACTCTATATTTTTACTTTTAAAAGAATTTTTTGTACTATTAAAGCCACAATTATTTTGAGTGAGGATGTTTTGAAAAAAGATATGTTTTTAAATACATCGATGAGTTAATTCTAAAAAATTGTTTGTCAATTTTAGACAGTTGTGAGAAAATAGTTTTAAAAGTTTAAACTTGTATACAAATTCAAATATTTAAAAACATATTATAATTGTTATTTTATTGTATTACTTCAACATTTCAGTGTATCATATTTTCAAATATTTAAAAACATATTATGCTTTTAAATATTTGAATTTGTATACAAGTTTAAACTTTTAAAATCGTTTTTAAAAACTTTTAAAACTGTCCAAAATGAACATACAATGTTTTAAAATTAACCTATCAACATAGTAAAGTAAAAGTTAATGTACATAAAAAGTATATAGAAAAATCTCTCTTTTCTTTTCTACTATTTAACTTTTTATATAATAATTATTATTATTTTTATTATTATTCAATTTTATCTTTATTATCTAATAAGTATTTTGGAGTATATTAAAAATTATATAATCAAAATAATATATTTTTTTAATTGTTATTTATGTGTCCCAAGAAGACCTAACGGTCTTGTCACAGAACACCGAGGAAGTTCACGCCTCCTTCCTAACCGTGACACAAAAATATATCCAAGGTTCCTTTTGAACCTGGATCTCTGCTTATAAAGCAAGCACTGTAACCACTACGCCACGGCCGTATATATTAGTAAAGCTATTGTATAAAGGTTAAAAACAACGCCAATAAATCCTTATAAACCCATTATTGTCTAGACGACAATGAATGGGCTTTATAAGGATTCATTGGATTTTATAAGGATTTATAGAATAAAGTTCGTTACTCATAAACAAATGTTTTCAGAGAACTGACGTCCATATAAAGGTTTGTTTTTTTGAAAATAGATGCAGATGAATTTTTCAGAGAGTTGACACCCTTGGAAGAAGTGGAGTAGCTACGTTTGCAGATTCACAAAAAGTCTTTTTAATTGATTAGAACTGTTAAATCAGTAATTTTTAATATAGTTTTATGTTCAGAGGCGATTTTACGGAGAAGAAAGGGTGATAGGGGTGGAACACCCCTATAGAAGGTGTTTTTCAAGTTATAATCGTTTTTTTTACGAATTTAGTCGGCTAGTCGGGTATTTTATACGGTAACTTTAGTTTAAAGGACTTTTTTTTTTTTAAACCCTTCGTACTTTTTATGGATTCATTCCCCCCTACCCCCTTATTTTATTCGTAAAATCGCCTCTTATTGTGATAACTCTATTGAGTTTATAAAGACACATAAATTAAATGAAGTTTAAAAACTCGTAAAATAATAGACTCTAATACTTTTTTTAAATTTGGCTGTAAAAATTGGAAGTTAAAGAAAAGTTTAACTCTTGTTTTCAATCATTTTTGTTTTTTAAACTCTTTTACAAAACTTTATAACATAATTCTGTTAAAACACGGATTTAATGCAAATAAAATATGGTTAGATAAATTAGATTAACAAATTAAATTTTCATGAACCATTTAAACTAAACTTACTTAATGTGGTTAATCCAAAAGATAAAGAAGTGTAATAAAATTACGATAAAAATAAAATTGAACCCGCAATTGTCAAATTGTTGTCGGCACTTAGTGATGTTTAGAGATGTAGTTGTCTCAAAGCTTTCATTAATTTTTCTTTATACTCTCAGCGCGAGTTGACGCGAAATAAATATTTTTAAAATTTCTATTTTTGCTCTAATAATCTGCTCCCAAAATAAATACATGGAATATATATATATATATATATATATATATATATATATATATATATATATATATATATATATATATATATATATATATATATATATATATATATATACATATATATGTATGTGTGTATGTATGCTTAAATCAATTCATATGTACTGACTCGAATATATATAAATACATTTTACGTGACAACCGTTTGCCTTGAATTGCCTCGTTCAAGTTAAACGGTTGTCCTCAAATACCTTAACTTCTTTTAAAAATACTCATTTATAGGTGACGTAGAAAGGTGTTTAGATATATGTGTGTATAAAAGATACAATTTAAATCAAATGAAAAATTTGACTTATCTAAAAATCACAAAATACCAACAACAAAAAAAAAACTAAAACTATTTTAAAGTTATTAAAAAATATTTATTATTTTTTTAGTGAAAAGAAAAAATTCATTTTATTCATTATAAATTTATAATATATGGCGCAGTGGTTTGAGTGCTTTCTTTTGAAACAAGAGATCCGAGGTTCAAAGCGAGCTCTGGGCATATTTCGCGCCGTTGGTAAGGAAGGAGGCTTCCTAGTTAAACGCTATTCTGCGGAGCTTTTTGTAAAGAGCGTTAGGTCTTCTTGGGGCACCTAAAACAAAAACTAAAAAAAAATTTCGTGTTAAACTGCTTAACATGTTTGATAATAATTCAAAGTAGTATAAACGAGTGCGATGTAAACATGTTTTCAAAAAAGAATTTTGTAACCTACCTTAACGACCTATTTAATTGATCGTTTTTCACGTTAGCAATTATTTCTATTTAGAAATTCATCCCTCTCGTGTTTATGTGCTTTAATTATAATAAACTCGATAATTCGACTCAAAGATTTGAGTCAGTGAATTGTTAGAACTTAATAACTTTTACGTTTGTGTCTTAAATTTAATTGACAATTTTGCAAATCTTTCTAGAAGAAATGCAAGGCAAAAAAGTGTCGCAAAAATTTTAAAATCTTTATGAAATCTTTATGAAAATGTTTCAAAATTAGATAATAAAAAATAATAAAAATAATAAAAATAAGAAATAATAATAAACAATTAAAGAAATTTTATTGAAATTTTTAATTTTAAAACGTTATGAATTTTAGAAAATAACAACTTTTTAAAAGCGAGAAGATAAAAAGTATCGTAAATTGGATGAATAAGGACAATAAGGTGAATACGGACAGAAACCAGAAAAGCTTTTTGGACGTCTACATAGTAACAGAGTCTGCTGAGTCGTTTTTTCCTATTAAGTAAAACCCAGGCTCATATAATTAGCAATGTTTTATTCAGAAATAAACCTTAAAATATAAAAAAAAATAAGAATAAAAAAACCTTTTTTCCACAGGCAAAAAGTGCAATTATGAAGCTTTACCAAATTATATAAAAATTGATAAAATTGTAAGAGTTGTACATAAGCAATCTGATAAAAAATTTCAAAACATATACTTAACATTAACTAGTATAGTTTCATTGATTTTTATGTTTTAGGAAAAAGTATTAAATATAGGGGTGAATTGTGACAGTTGTGAAAGTTTTCCCAAAACTCAGAAAAAAAGCGGAGATTTTGGTTAATTGAATAATTTTGGTACTCGGAAGAATGTCTTGCAACATTACTGAATCCTGAAAAATACGGGGGTGATTCTCACTTTGTTTTTCCTCAATATGAGGAAAAATAAAGTGAGAACCACCAGATAATATTTTTCTCACCATTTAGAAAAACGTCACTGTTCAGCTATTCTTAGATAATAGGATGTACAAATCTACAAATTTCTAAACTTAAATTTAAAATTTAAAATTCAATGTAGGTTCAAAGAAACGGTGACAATTTCCATTTGTTAGTACCATAAAAAGTGGTACTGGTAGCAACTTTTTTTCGTATTCATTAAGGACATACTGCATTTGAATTATATTTTAATTATATTTTAGTCTCATTCCGAAATTTATTCAATAAACGTATATATTGTTGTATATAATATATAATTGTTGAATATAATTAACATAATTATACTATGATCTGTAACTTTGATGCTCAGAACTACATCTAATAAAGCTTTTATTGTAAAATATTTATTAAATCACAAAGTTGTAAAATTAAAAAACAAAAACAAAAACAAAACAAAAAAAAAATCTTTAATAAGAATTTGCTATTTATATTCGATGAAGGTTTTATCCAATTGTATGCCTACCCTTGTTAAGGTGGAATGTTACCAGTTCAATTTAGGTACCAGTGCAACTTAGGTACGCACACATTTTTTAAAAAACTTAAAAAAGTGACTATACTTAGCACTAAAAAATCCAAATATAAAAAATATAAAACTATTTTTTTAGTGAGTGGTACTAGAAAAACCTTAAAAACTAATCACCTTGTTTACAGTATTTAAATTACTTGTTGCTTTCAGATTAACAAATATTTCTCAATGTGTTTGTTTTTGGTATTTAGGTTCAAACAACTAGAATGTTGCTTGTTAAAGAGCGGAATAACTTAATAACCATGAATAGTTTTTATAAATGTTGTAATTACCTGCTTCGTTGTGGCATCAGATTGTTTGCAGACAACAGCAAGTTGTATCAAGCAAAAAAAAAAAAAAAAAAAGAAATAATACACATCTTGTAATAGTAAAATGTTCACAATGTTTTTATAACTGTACACTCAGTATCACTACCAAATTAGTTTTTTTTTTTCCAAGGCAGACGAAGCTACTAATTACTTTTTTAATTGTTTTCTTTTATCCCCCTCTAACTCTGAAACGAAAATCTTGGAAAACAAGACATTAAAAGAAAAAGGTTTGAACTTGGTACTTCTTGCATACAATGCGTAGGCTGTGCCAATAAGTTACAAACGCATTTTTGTTACATTTACATTTGCTTTCTTTAAACCTAGAAGCCACTGTGTACTATTTTAACATGTTTTTTTTCTCACTATTCAAAAATAAGTAGAAAATGTAAACTAAAGTAAGTAGAAAAGTTAAACTAATAAAATTTAAAAGTTAACGGAGGATAAGTTAAACACAGTTTGTTAAGGCGAGTTTCCACTCATCCGTTTCACTACGGGAACGGGAAAAATAATCACGTGGGCATGCGTGGTATAAGTTTTACTTTGTCCGAAGGAAAACTACGCATGCTCACGTGATTATTTTTTCCGTTCCCGTAGAAAAACGGATGAGTGTAAACTCACCTTTACAATCAAAAAAAAATTGATATATGTTTAATATATGTTGAAATATGTCAAAAAAACATTGAAATATGTTTGTAAGTTTTAAATGAGTCTATTTTAAATTTCACATAAAAAATCTAAAAACAAATTAAGTTTAATATTTTCTGTGTTCTTACTAGAGAATATGTCTATATATTTTACAATTTTTATTGTTGCTTTCTTACCGCAAAAGCTGGGGAGGAGAGACAAATTACTTAATAAATAAGATAAATATTTTATACGCTCAAGTAATTTTGAGTTTTAAGTAATCATGTGATCGAATCAATCCCCCCTCCCCTCCTCCCGCCTCAACTTCACTCATTCAAACATAGTTTATTATACCTATAGCCCATTCAAAGTTATAATTAATTCTACTACTCACTAAAATTAATTCTTACATTCATACTTGTAATTAATTGTACTCTCAATTGTATAAACTTATAAAGATTTAGAGAACACCGATATCTTTTTACTCCTATAATATCTTTATACCATTATGAATATGAATTTATGTCAAGCAAGCTTTAAAAAAAATCGTGTTTAATAAAATGATTGATTTGATAAAAATATTTTTATGTAACGTTTTTTAATATTTTTACCTTTACTTATTATAAAACTAAAATATATATTGGATGTAAAAAAATTACAGAAAAATAGAATTTTCAAATACTATGTAACCATGTATTTATAGGTCTGTAATTATTATTATATATATTACACAAAATTGTATTTTGTTTTTACCGGCAGAAAATGACCATGAAAAAACAAGTAAATGAGAACTTATGAGATCTGTTTCGTGTTTCCTTGTGTTGTTCATGTTGTAATCCTAATCTGCTAGTAGTTTGTTTCCGTTCCCAATTAAATAAAATGTTCAAAGAAAAAGTATGCATAATATTAGGTTTTAACCTAATAATAAATTTTTTTTGGTTACTTAGTAGATCATAGTAGATTTTAGCCAGCATACTTAGTAGATTTTAGCCAGCCCATAAATAACTGGTTTTAGGTTACTCAGAAGACTAACGATTTACTAAGTAAACGATAAGTAAAACTTCAACAGACCGCTAAGGATGCTGATGTCTACATAAAATCCGCTTTAAAATGTGTATTGGTTAGGGATATAGTTTTGGTTATAACAAAAGTACGCCGGGTAGAATGTTTAGTGGAAGGTATTAAGTCAAGGAGTTTATTCTAGCTTGCACTTCCCTTACTTATTATATACGCTATATAAGAATACTTGTTAATTTTTATGTGTTAGATTTTTGGAAAATGTTAAGTTTAAAAATCTAAAATCTATGTTTGTAACTCGCTTAGTTCAAACAATGACAAAATGTTGCGTCATGTAATCTTTTAACATTTACTGTTTTTATTATTATGTTTTATATTAACCTTTGATAATATTATTTTTTATGTTAGGAAGAATAAAAGTGAACGCAAGTATCTTAGACAAGTTACAGACGTTAAAAATGGTTGGATTGAATTATTTAACATTTAGGTTGTATGTAGGTTGGTATAGATATCATTCATAACGGATTGCTTATTTTAACCTTTTGTGTTATTAGTCATAGCAACTAAGCAATATATCAAAATAGTACATCTTAAGAAAATAAAAAAATTAAGTCAGCAATAAATTTAAAACAACTTACAGTTACAAAAAAAATCACCTTGAATTGGTTATTTACTTGTAAATATTTTTTTTCTTTAGTGCAATGTTTTCTTGTTAGTAATTGTTAATTGCTTTTAAAGATTATGCAATCGGAGGATCTGAAGATTATGTGATGCTTGCTCAAAAAAACGTGCTCAAAAAAACCCGCCGTTAAATGCCCAACTTGGTTTAACAAAGTATTTTAAAAATTAATAAAGAAATATTGTTTAGTGTTGTTATACCTAAGAAATGTATTGCATTTATGTTATTTTATAATATGTCTTCACGTCTTCCTGACCCCTTTAGCTTCATTTGGCCACTGGACCTATAAATAATTTTATACAGATTAGCAAACAATTTTTAAGTATATTATAATATTCAAAACATATCACGTAGATAGTGTATTGTTATTAATAAAGCTTTTTTTATTTTATTCTTATAAAACGCTATCAATTTCAATGTGCCACCTGCTGTTAATTTTAAGACTTTATTACCTCTTCTTAATCTCAAATAATTAGCGATGTATTTTATATAACAATACTAAAAATGAATTAATTTTATAAAAATTCCTCAGCAATTGCAACCACGTGTTTAAAATTCGATTAATGTTGTAGCTATAGTAATAATTTATTTATAATAGTATTGACATCTCTAGTATTAACAAAAATAAAAAACACGGTAGCTAAAACAAAGAAATAATGTTGAAAATATGTTATTTAAAACAATATTTCAAGATATTTTTTATAGACGTTTCATAAAGAATTTAATATGTTTAAGTATTTTTTGTTTCACAAAATTTTTTCACGTATAAATTTACTTATAAATATTTACTAATAACTAATAAATATTTTAATAACATAATTTAAGAAAAATAAAAACGTTTGGCTTTATAAGCGTATACATTGCACGCGTTTTAAACGCGCATACCATTTTTATCTAATGTACCATTCTTATCTAATGTTAAGCGAAAAGATTTCTTCAAATTTCTTCAAATTTCAAAAGTTTCTCCGAATTCTGCTATTGGCGCTTTTAAACATTCTGCAAACTTTGTTATCAAGAGGTCTAAAAAATAATTCAACTAGTTTATAAACATTTTAAAACGGAGTTTATTGTATTATACCCCCTAGAACCAAGTTGATTTAATTATTGGTACTCAGTTAAAGAACTTCTATTATGGAGATTACAATTAATGCAATAAATTTCCTGTTATTCAAAAAATTTGTTTAACCTAGCTTTTTACTTTTAGTACAATAGCATATTATAGTTGGTTAATGAAAAAAATTGATGAAATAATCCAACAAGAGTAACAAAGGCTGATTTAGCCATCCCAACACATAATAGAACACTAGTGCACTTGACAAATCTTTAACAAGAGGTACGTAAATTTTTTTTATTTTTAACAATCTTCCGATATTTTTATCCGATTTTATTCGGACATCTTTCAATCGTTTACGTTTCGCCCTTGAGTTTATTAATCAGATAAATTTATAAAAGAACCCAAGATTCTAAGAACCAATAAAAATACATTGATTCTAAGATGTTGAGAATGAAAGAATAAGTTAATATTTAAATTTTTTAAGTTTTCTGTCGTTTTTCTAAACTTGGTGTCCAACAAATATTAGCCATTGTTCTAATGATTTCTAAAAAAAAATCAATTGTTAACAATTTTAATTAACGTTAAAAAAAAAATCTCTAAATAAATATTTAAAACTTACTAAAATAAAATCTGCTCGTTCTACACCATACTGAGTTTAATAATCTAGGTAATTTATATACTACGTCGACGTCATATAACAGCAAGATTAATTTCTTTTGTCGACGACATAAAAGTAAGTAAAGCAAGAAAATCTTAAATTTACTATTTTACATGTTGCATAAAATAGCACACACGATTGTTATTATAGTGGCGTAATATTATTTTAGTGGGGCCCATGATATTAAGGTTGATACGCCCCACACGATAAAAGTCGGCTAAAGTCATCGAATCGTTAACTTAAAAAAAGTTAAACATCAAATTTATTAAAAAGGTAAGTTATATATATATATATATATATATATATATATATATATATATATATATATATATATATATATATATATATATATATATATATATATATATATATATATATATATATATATTAATAAAAAGTATGCTTTATAGTATAATTGAACAATATTTATAGAATGACACAATCAAAATATTTTATTATTGTCCTTTGGATGTTTGTCTTGCACTTTGCGTGTGTTCAAAATGTGCCTAAATTCACCTCTGAGTGTCATCCAGTTTCATTTCCAGCTGTTCGTGTTGATATATCTCCGCGTTGTAAAGATGTACGCGTAGCTATGAATCAATGCGTTGGAGCATGCGAATCTATGGACAAAAATCCATCAAACGAGAGGAAATCTGTTTGCAGATGTTGTCAACCAGTAGATTTTATTGAAAGAAACATTGTTAAAGAAGTTGCATGTATGTCTAATGACAAAGCTGTAACGACTCTGATGACTATAAAAATTTTTGAACCAATCAGATGCGAGTGCAGAAATTGTAAACCTTCATAAATCTATTAATAACTGTTAAGAGCTGGTTTCTGTTAAGAACTTAAATTTCTGGTTTTGAAACCAGAAATGAGTTTAAGTCATATTTTTTTTTTTTATAAAAAAAATAATATGCCAACCATACGAAATTCGCATAGGAGTTTTTATGAATAATAACAGAGTGAAGAACAATGTATTAAGAAAAGATAAAGAAACATTTGGTCGTGTGAAATCAAAAAATTCTTTATTGATATTCTTAAGTTTTTATGGTTTTCTCATTACAATAATATTTTCATAAACGCTTTTTATATTCTGAAGGAGTAGTATTTCTTTAAAATATACTAATACTATTTATTTGTTGTTAATTTTCATAATTATTATTATTTACATAATATTATTAAAGTGAAGAATAAATTGGTGTTGATTTTTATGTATTTTTTTCTTGTACGCGTCTGCGTTTTAATTAATTATTTTTGGGGAAACTAAAGCGTTTGCAATTTTCTGGTCATTAAGATATTTTAGCACGCGAGAATAAACGGAATAACATCGTAAGAATCTAATGATTAACTTAAATTTTTAAGGACGTAAGAATCTACTAAATTATAAACAAATATAAACAAATAAAATTAATAAATAAATGATTAATTAATTTTTTTGCAGCTGAAAATTCAACCGCTTAGAGAAAAAATTGCTTCTGCAGCTGAAAATTAAATTAAATTAAAGAATATTCTATTTTTATTTTTTAACATTTAATTTACGCGTAAAAGAATAATTATAGCGTAGCGATATGGGTGTTGTATTATAAGTAGAAGGTGTATATTTAGGTCCTCTAAAATACTTTTGTAAATTTTGTGTTTTATTGTAAAGTACTTATATGTGTTCTAAATACTATTGTTGCTTATTACTAGTTATATTTATTTGTTTTTATTTTTCAAAGAATAATAGAATAAGTGTATCCATGCGTACATACATTGACTAATGCAGCCATACATACATCGATCGACTTAAATAGATATAGGCGAAGTGGTGTGTACATAAGTTGATTGATCTAAATAGAGGTAGACACAGTGGAGTAAACCTATATTTACTGACTTAAATAAGGTCATGCAAAGTGGAGTGTGCATGTATTCCGTCACTAGTAAAATTATACAATACAAAGAAATATTATGTAGGAGTCCTACCGTAGGATAAAAAAAATGCCATATTGATTTTTAAAAAACCGATTGTCTTTAATTACCGATAAAACAAAACCAATACTTTTTAATCTAACTTCTAACAAAAAAAAAAAAAAAAATCAAAATACCTTGCGTGAATTATTTATTGATAATCCAACCCTAAAAACAGAAAAAGTTACAATATTCCTAGGAGCCATGATAGATGAAAAACTATCATGAAGACAACAAATTGATAATAACTCCATGAAAACTGCTGATAACATTCGAATTCTATATAAAGTTAGACATATAAACACCAACAAACAGAACTATATTACTCATTTATTCATTGCCATATAAGTTATGTAAATATAATATGGGGAAGCGCTCATAAAGCTAAACTTAAATCTCTCTGTCGGCATCAGAAACACGCAGCATGCAAAAACTTCGCAAATTTGTTTTCAAGCTTAACACCACTTCTTAAATGAAAGTTTCGAATATTTAGAAAATTATGTTGTATGTTTAAATGTAAAGAAAATATATCACCTAGTGTATTTATAAACTTATATATATATATATATATATATATATATATATATATATATATATATATATATATATATATATATATATATATATATATATATATATAAAAATATATATATATATATATATATATATTTTTTCTTTAACTTTTTTTTCTTTTTTATTATAAACGCACGCACGCACACACACACATATACACACACGTACACACGCTTATATGTCCGTTCATATATATCTTATACTGCTGAGTTTGGTGAGCATGATGGCATTATACTGAAATAGTCTGCTGCGGGGGCTTAAGTACATACATCGATTGAGAAATAGCCTGACTCGCAGTGGAGTGCTGCTACATCGACTGAGGGTTTGGTATGGGTCAGGAACCTTTTCATTTATTATTCTTTGTTTTCCCTCATCGTTTTCTCAAAACGCTCACTTAATTTAAACAAGCAAAAAAAAATGAGCAATTGCGCATATAAATATGCTATAGTAGATACTACATATACATACAATACCAAATAAATCTGTATTATATTCCATCTACAAGTTGCGTCAGATATACATATATATATTGCATCTACAAATCGTGTCAAAATTTGAAAACAAACGTGTTGGTTAAAACATCCAAGAGCCATTTATATATATATATATATATATATATATATATATATATTTTTTTTTTTTTTTTTTTTTTTAGAAAGCTTTCTTTATGATAAGATTCTTTGATCTTCTAGCCAGTAGCCGGTTAAAAATTCGATGTAAATTTACTTTGTACATATTATTCTGGCCAAAAAAAAAAGGATTAAAAGTTAAAAAATAAATCGTAAAATGAATTCCTGCCATTTCTTCCCGTGAAGTATTGAAGTATGGAATTTTCTATATTTAGGTTATTTTTACACCTTTTCTTATTTCAATGTGTTGATGTCCGAATGACAAAAAAAGAAAAATGTTTTTAGATTCATAGGCTTATTTGAAAACCTTCCATTTATCTTTCCATTTATCCTTCCATTTATTGTACTTATTTATTACTTATCGTATAGACCTGAATTTTTTTTTCATCACATTATCCGCCTAACATTTTGTAGAAATGCGATCCAGGCTAGATAGATGCGATAGGCTGCTTGTGATCGCTTGGATCACGAGAAACATTTTATTAATACTTTTTCTCATTTCTTCTGATTTAAATTTGCTGTGATTGATGAAAATCCTAATCCTATAGATAAATATATTTTGATGTCAGTGAGATTCAAACTTAGATACGCAAATTATTCAAAATCTTTTAATGCGATGAAATAAAAAAAATGGTAGATGAAAAATGAAGACAACAAATTGATAATAACTTTATGAAAACTGCTGATAACATTCGAATTCTATATAAAGTTAGACATATAATGCTAACTTTTAATGCGATGAAGTACAAAAATAGTATCGAGCTTTCTAAGGAGATTTGAAATTTAAAAAAAAAAGGAAATAAAACACATAATAAAGTGGAAAATTATAAAACGCTGTAAACCTATCAAAATAACATCCAAAATTTGTTACTGCTAAACCTACCCCAGCGGGATAAGTAGAGCAATTGTGTGGGGTAAGATGAGCAATAAAAAAAATGAATGCACTTCTGTAACAACTATTAACTCTGTTATAAAACCAAAACATAGCTTCCTTATAAATTAAATATATACTTTAAAGTTTAACAAATTAATTAAGATATCAATGTAAATGCTAATAATTTTGAGACTAAATTAAAATAAAACTATTTCATCTTAAAACTAAACACAAGTTTTTAAACACATTTTTAAACAAAACTTGTTAATATTATGATAAAATAATTAAACACTTAATGTTAGTCTTCAATTTCCTATTTGCAACCAATACAAACATAATTTTGACCAGAATGTGAATCACATTTTGAATGAGACCATTGATTGCAACCTTGACACTAGATCCAATTTTCTTCTGGTAGACTTTCAGAATAAGTTTTCAAACATACAAGACAAGCATAATCGTGTTCTGCACTTGTCTTTAATTTTTTTGTCATCTTAGTTTTTTTGTTTGATTTTTTTTGAACTTTTTTTTAATATACTAAGCAGCAGAGTCTCCTTATTACCATGATCTGCAAAGGATTGAAGGGCAAAACTTTTATTTGTTTTCTTTAAAATTTCTTTCTTTTCAGTTTTTTTGTTTGTTTGTTTCTTAACTTTTTTTAAAATACTATGTAACTGATTCTCTTTATTACCACACTCTTTATTAATATTTGAAAGGGATTGACAGGTAGATAATATTTTTTGTTTCTCTACTTTTTTAAGTTTCTTAGTTTGCTGCTGTTTTAATATAATTCTTTCTGGAGTATCTGTTAGAATAGCAGCTTTCCCTTTTCCATGTCTCATCAAATCGTCTCATAAAATGCATCTTTCTTGGTGCTGCTTTTGGGTAAGATTGCACAGTTTCTGGAGAAAAAGCTTAAGGAGTTTCAGGATTAATTAACGTTGTCTCTTTATAAATACTATTTTTGACAGATTGACCTTAATATGTTAAACGTACTTCAGAATGAGCTCCGTGTGATAGCTCAGATACAAGATTTGCTAGTTCTATACGGTTTGTGATAAATGATGGTAAAAAATCATCATGTAAATCATCATGTAAATGATGGTAAAAAATCATCATGCAAAAATGTTTGCATTGTACGGGTATATACTAGTCTTTTGAAAACCCTTTGTAATGTTAGTACACGTTATAGCTAATGGCAATAAATCAGATACAGTTTTTGATATATCATAAATTGTTATGGCTTTTTCAGGATTGTTTTTCAGCCATGCATCTCGTGCAACTGATAGGTACTTTACCAAACACTAATACATTTAGTGGTTGCAGCTTATGGCTGCAGTGTGATAGGAAAGACAACATGACTATTCCATTCTTCTTTGCTAAGTTTAGTGTTTCAAAATGCAAGTGAGAAGAGTGATTGCCCAAAATCAAAAGAATTTTATATTTATTTGAAGACTTCACATGCCTAATGAAATGTTGCATAAAATTTTTGAATTCAATATCTATAACCCAGCCACTTCCATTACCTTCCCCTATACAGTCAGGCGGACCATTGTTAACAAAATAATCTTTGTAATTTTTGCGAGGGAACACAAACATTGGGGGCACTGTATTTCCTGAGGCAGATACAGCAGTTACCATTGTGACATTAGTGCGTCTTTCCCCAGATGTCATAGCACCAACATTTCTCTTGCCCTTTGCAGCCACAATTTTACTAGGCTTTACAACTATAGATACACCAGTTTTATTAATGTTCCATATATGTGAAGCACTGAATTTGTATATATCAATAACTTCACCTAGCTTATCAAAAAACACTTTTGCATTTGCAGCGTTAAATGATGTTGTCCTACCAAGGCTAGTTCCTTTAGTTTTCCTTATAGATAATTGAGGATTTATTTTAAAAAACTAGTCATCCACTCCTTACCAGCCATCTTATTTACTTTCCAAGAATCTATTATTTTAATTTTGTATTTAAGAGCACCCCAGTGGGAAAAAAGATATCTTTAGACGAATAAAAAACGTCTTTTTTATAACTTGTTATGTCTTTTTATAATCAGTCTAAATAAAGACGTGGAAAAGACGTCTTTTGAAAAGACGTCTTCAAAAAAGAGGTCGAAAAGACGTCAATCGGTTGTACGTCTTTAATAAGAAGTAGAAAAGACGTCTTTTATATCGATGACCTTTAAAAAAAAGAAATGAGAAAATTTTCATTTAAATGATAAATTAAACAAAACCCAGTAGAAGTTTTTTTTCTTTAGGGAGGGGGAGGGGAAAATTCAATAACTTTTCCCACTGGGAAACAACTCAAGTTGTTAATAAGCAAATCATAATTTGCTTATTAAGTTATAATAAACAAATTATTATTTGCTTATTAACAACTTTCGTTGTTAATAAGGAAATCATTATTTGCTTAAGAAAATTAAAAATAATTATTGCCAATAGAACCTAACAAAGATGGTTTTTAACCCACAGTATCGTATTTACGATATCTTTGTTACGTTCTGATTGGCCCGTTTTTTGTTTACAAAATACTTTTATAAAACTTTTTTTATGTAATACGTTTTTGCATAGAAAATTTAATTAAAAATCAACTATTTTCGTTAAGCGGGTTTATTTTATAATTTATGTAATAAAGTAATATATTATATAAAATATAATATATTACTTTATTACATAAGTTATAAAATAAATAATATATGCTTTTATAGAAATACATAATATATATGCTTTTATATATTATAGAATATATATATATATATATATATATATATATATATATATACATACATATATATATATATATATATATATATATATATATATATATATATATATATATATATATATATATATATATATTTATATTTGTTACTATAATATATATATATATATATATATATATATATATATATATATATATATATATATATATATATATATATATATATATATATATATATATATATATATATATATATATATATATATATATAATTGCAGTTGTTTAGCTAGAAAATTTTAATAGGAAAAAGCAAAAAGTGTATGGCGTGGTGCAGTAAGATGGTATTGATATGATCTAGTCTGAATTAAGTTAGTAAAAGGTAAGTGTTTTAAAAAGTTTTACTGTTTATTTTCGGACTAATTTTTTAATGTGTTGTGCTTGAAGAACGTTGTTTATTACATATTAAATTAAAATATTTATTTTCAGACGAAAAATAAAACCTGTAAATAATTTCTGTCTGTATTTATTTGTTCAAGTGCCAGTGAAACGAACGATAGAAAAGAAGAAGCATTCAGTAGGCTTGTAATTTTTTTATATATATTTTTAAACGATCTGAATAATTTTGATGTTTTTGTTTAGTTGAATGATGAAATTGTTTTTGCAAAAGATTGGCTCTTTAACTTTTATGTTAAAGTTGTTATTTCCTTGTTAACTGTTGTCTGTCGTTAACAAAGCAAGTAAAAAATGTACATAATGACAACAGATTTATCTTTAGAACTGTTTGCAAAACTTTTGGTTTGGATACAAAAGACCAAGTAAAAATGATACTGGAAAGGTACACTTTCTTATATCTAAACATCATTGCAGCTTTCTAGTCTTTATTTTTGTTTATGTGTATTTTATCTGTGTTGCTAATGATATCGCCAGTTTTCATGATTTTATGTTGTTAAGAAAGCATTATTATGTTTCAGGCTAAAATAGAGCTTTGACTAACACCAATACCTTTGACTAATACTAATACCAATACCAATACCTTTGACTAATAATCAATTTAAATGAATAACAACTCTCAAGATGTATTAGCTGAATTATCTTTTCGTTTTGATAGTCTTTAGTCAGTAACGGATTTTTAAATTGTTACGAGCCTGCAATACTTAATTTCAGCGAAATTCATTTAAAAAGTCACGTCATAAAATACAGAAAAATATAAATTTCTGTTTTCACTAACTTGGCTTTCATAGCAAATATGAGAGGTGCAAATGTTTAGCTTGGTTTAAGTACTACATAATAAAGTACATCGTTGTACAGTCATTTTGATGGTCGTAAATTTCTTTAGCATACTTATTTTTATACATTTTTAGACTGTTTACCGTTGGACTCCTGTCCCAATCTAACCTAGTGGGTTCAAAAAGAAAGAACCACGCTGGAAACATGAGGGGGTTAAAAGGATCAGCCCTTTTTGAATTATTAGTCGGTAAGTCTAATGTGTTTCACTCAGCTTATCAAGTTTCAGTTGCTTTTTTGTATTACATTCAAGCAATAGACTGTTTTTTATATTCACTTGTTTTTTAGAAGTTGTAACCAACTTGTACGAATGAAGTTTACGACTTGATATAGTTAATTTTATTCAACAACGCCAAGAAACAGAGCTCGTTCAAGAAACAGAAGAGAAAAAGAAAGATGAAAAAATATTCTGTTGACCAATACTGTTGTTTTATTTATAAATTATTCTCCAATGTTTAAACATATAAAAGATGTAGAAAATGCTTCCTCTTTTTTATTGACAACTAAAAGAGGTTTTTTTTCTCGGCATCGGAAAGAGCTTTTTGTCATACTTTGAATGAAGAGCTATTTAATTTCTAATTAGATCATTTTAATTTGGTAAAAAAAAAGCTTTTCATATATGAAAAGTAGTAATATTATAGTGTATATGATAGTATACTAAAAAGTATGACAAAAAAGTCGTTCCGATCTCGAGAAAAAAAACTTTTTAAGAAGTGCATATTTGAAGACATAATAAAGACGTCTTAAAGACGCATTTTTTATATCTTTCCATGACAAGATTAAGATAAAAAAAGACATCTTTTTGATGTCGAAAAAAGATGTCTTTTAGATTTGCATAATCGATTAAAAAAAGACGTCTTAAAGACATCGTAATTAAGACTTTTAAAGACGTCTTTTCGACGTCTTTTTTCCCACTGGGACCCTCATAGGCAAGAGAACGAACATCTTTAATATATATATATATATATATATATATATATATATATATATATATATATATATATATATATATATATATATATATATATATATATATATATATATATATATTGTGTAACTGTTATATACCAATATTTAAAGTTTTCTATTTAAATATAGCAATATTAATAGGTACTTCAACATTTGAGAGCGCGTCATCGATAATCAATAAAACACGGTTAAGGAAAAAAAGTCTGACGTTTTTTGCCGACAAAATAATTTGAGATGAATGTTCTTCCATCGTTTAACCGATTACTTTAAATACTATAACTTTTTATTTGTTTATTGCAAAAAGTAGAAACACAGCCTAATAGTACTAAAAATATTTTTTTGAGATTTTTATTATATGAGATAAGTTAAGTTCCCGGTGGGAAATGAGCTAGCGACTAGCGAGCGACTAGCTAGCTTTATAGCGATTTTTAATCAATTTTTTTTTCCTAATTTTATTCTTTACTAATGTCTCAAACATCTTTAAAAACTCGATTTTTTGTGTTGAGTCTATTATAATTATGAGAATAATTGAACTTTAAACATTGCGATTTTGTAGCAATATTTCGCTAGCTGCATATCGTAGCTTTTTGTTGCTAGCTACGAAATATCTACAAATATATAGCTGGTTGATAGCTACATACCAAAATTTTTTTGATAGCAAATTTATTACGATATGACTGTAGCTATAATAGCCTGTGAGTCTTTAGCTTATTAAGCTAGCTGTCCTCGTAGCCAAATCGCTGTCTTTATCTTTACAATTATCGATAGCTTTTCGCTAACTTAAAAAAGCTAGCGATCCTCGTGGCCAAATCGCTGTCTTTAACGTAACAATTATAGCTAGCTATTCGCTAGCCGATTTTCCACCGGGTTGAATCAAAAATTAAGGTCGTTTTATAATCTAAATAATTTTGAAAGTATTTGGTGTTTTTTTGATTTAATAACAAAATCAATTACACATTACAATACCTTTATAGTGTACATATTTTTGAATAGTAAGCGTTGATCACACAAAAAACATGCCTCCCACCAAAAAGTTAACTTTAAAAAAAAAAAATTTTCAGCACTTGTCAATTTTCAAGACACAACTCATCAATTTTCAAGACGTTTATTTAGTTTTTTAAATTAGGTTATTGTTTTGGAAAACCTATTTTGCATTACTATTAAATAAATATTTTTTTTAAAAGTACTGTCACAGATTTATTACGTCTAAGGTGGGTTGTTTTCTAGTCATTAAAATTCCATTTACTATAGTTTTTATTGGTTAGTTCTTAGTTTTGAATAATAACGGTCTTATTTATTGTTACTTTTGTAAAAGAACGGAAACGTTAACGCAATTCTTAAAAATGTTAAATCGCTAAAAACCTCAAAAGTCATACATCAAAAATTTTAAATTTTGTGGTTTAAAAGTTGCATAAGTTTTTGACTAATAATAATGTAACGAAAAGCTTGTCATTTTTTAACTGTTAATGTTTAGCTCTAACTTATGGAGTTTGTTTTGTTTTAATTTTACATTTTTAAAAAAATGTTGAAATGTCTAATATTAAATAATATATAAAAACTATTTATATATAGATAAATAATCAAAATATAAATGAAATATCATATTTTATATATATTTTGATTATATATACTTTAATTTGTTTTTTTAAATATGCACACTATCATAATATTATTATTATAATAAACATAGTAAAGAAGATTAATTTAAAAAATTTATTCAAGAACTTTTCAAATTAAAGATTTTATTAACTAAGTAATATTTGAAGTAAAAATATTTTAATAGTGTTAAAAAATCAAATAATTTTAAACCATAAAAACATATTTAAAAAAAAAAGGTTTAAGATATTACATTATAATTAGATGTTTTGCCATGTGATGAGTAGTTTTTGAGATATTTTAGTTGCCCAACTTGCCCATACTAAACAAGTAAATGTATTTAGTTGTTTAGTATGTTAATTTTGTATATTTTTATATTATATAACTTTATAGTTATGTTTAGTAGCTTTTTTTTATGTACTTAGTTAGCTGATGATTGCCGTGTATGGCATAAAACTTTAAGTAGGGTCATGCCTCCCTCCGTGGTTTTTGAAAAAATAAGTAAATTTTTTTAGTTTTTTTTTTCAATAAATTTTTTAGTATTGTTTTATATAAAATAACTTATTTCATATATATTTTTATAAAGATTTATTTTTATAGTTGTGAGATGTTTTTAACCGCAAATGATTTTTTACTGCTTTCTTAAAAAAATCTTTTGCAGTCAAAAAATGTTTTTCTGTTTTTATATGGCTAAAAATTTATATATATATACATATATAAATATTTCAAATTTTATCAAAAAAAATTTTTGTACAACACTGTTTAATACGGTGATTACAAAAGTTATACTAGTTAGCACTTACTGTTTATAGAAATATTTTCTTGGACGTGTTTTACTTTGTATATTTTTTTCTCTAAAAAAACCATTTAGGTTAATCTAAATAACTATGTAAACCCTAGGGATATATATTCATTTGATATGGGAATCAGGGTTGGCTGATTTAAACCACATCGATTTAAATCAGTGATTTAAATCAAGATTTAAATCAAAAGATTTTTTTGGATGACAAATGATTTAAATCAAGTTTTTCTTTTATGTTTGATTTTTGAATAATAAAAATTTATTTAAAAACTATTTTTGTCATATTTAAAAAAAAAACTAATTAAATGTAACAGAACTATGTATTTATAGAAATAATGACTCAAAGTATACAATAAAAATAAATAAAACAGGTAATGCTACAGTGCACAAAACAAATTAATAAACATAATTATCAATTAAAACAAAAAAATTTTATCCTGTGTGCAGCATTAAAATTAATCATCAACACCAAATTGAATAATTTTCTGCTGATTAATTGCCTTGAATAGAAACACAAGCTTAGCAGCTTTTTCTGTACCCAATCTATTTCTCAGTTTTGAATGTACCAAGCCGTAAGAGGAGAACACACGTTCAACTCCTGCAGATGAAGCTACCGCAGTCATCAATTGCAAAATTGTATTTAATGTTTTACCTTCAATGTTATCGCGGTGTGATCTCCACCACTGAACAGACAATAATTCTGTTAAAACCTCTAATCTAAATTCAAATTCCAGGAATGCGTATGACTTTCCTCTAAATTTCTGTAGGAATAATATATGGAATAATATGTGGGTATTGTAGATTTGCATATTCCAAAGCAGTATTTTTTTCAATTTCATTCAATTTTCTACCTTGGTAATGAGGGTGAAGAAGATTAGCCAGAAAATGGGATGGTGTCACTGCCTTGTCGTATCTTTTTTTGAATTTATTTTGGATAACTTTCTCACTTTTACAAAAAAGTTTGTTTTCTAGATTTTTCCATACATACCACTACATCTGCAATTTTGCATTTGTTACTTTGTGCTTTATCAAGTGCAAAAGCAATAGGTTCTAAGCGAGCAAGTAGATCTTCTGCAGATCTCTTAATGACTAAGTTAGAGACATTTTGTTGCATTGTAGTGTCAATTATGGCCCGATTAGACTCACAGATTTTTAGCAGAGTTGCCCAATTTGCAATATACAGTTTTAGACAGTCACACTTGGTATTCCAGCGAGTATCTTGAGGCAAAACAAGTTTTTGTCCACCAGCTTTTCTATATTTTGCCAAAGCAAAATGGTGGTTCCTAAAATATTTGACAATATTTACTATATGATCTTTAACATTGTCAATTTCTAGGTCATGTGCTAACAAATTCATTAAATGTGCAGAGCAACCATATGTAACTACATCAATATCTGATCGAGATTCAATATTATGCCTCATTTTTGATACATTAGCTGCATTGTCAGTCACAATACTTCCCACACGACACCCAAATTCAAGCTCTATATTTTTAATTGATGAAACTGCTAGTTCTTCAAGATATTCAGAAGTGTGCGGGCTTCCAGATGTGTCAATTGTGTCAGCTAAATAGACATCACTTGTTTCAGTTGTAACTGTAACACAAATTATAGGCTCCTTATGAACGTTTGACCAACCATCCAGTGCTATATTTACAATCTCTCCATTTAGAGCGTTTTTAACGTTACCCTTTTCTTTATCAAACACTATTGTTAGGAGTTTGTCAGCTACGTCCTTTCTTGTTGGGCCACTATAGCCTGGCCTCAACATCAACATTAGTTTTTGGAATTCTGGATGTTCAACTAATTGAAATGATGAATTTGTTGCAAAAATCATTCTTGCAATCTGCTCATCAAATACGGCCTTTTGACTCTGACTTGTTCTAACAACATGTGACAATAATCCAGAACTTATATTTTTATTTATTGGACCATTATTATTTATATTTTCAGTCCGTGATTTTTTTGCTGATACATTTAAATAACATTTTTCTGCTAAAACAGATGATTCTGAGGGTTGCTTTGTAACATCAAATTGAATATTGGAAGAAGTAGTTTG